GATTAGGGCCACCCTCATTTAAGTGACCTCATTTAAGCTTAATTACCTCTTTCAAGACCCTATCTCAAATTAGAGTCACATTATGAGATTCTGGAGGCTAAGGCTTCAATCTGTGAATTTTGGGGGACACACAATTCAGCCCATAACAGCTTCCGAGTCCTTTCTCCTCTTTTGTTTCACCCCCAATCCCCAAATTTTAGTTCCATTTCTAAAGCAGAACAACTTTGCTTTCTATTCAATACCTCTCTGTATGTTAAACACAAAATGATATCTACTTTCAGACTTCAGATGAAAGTTATTAATTTTTATTTTTTTGAGACAGGGTCTTATTCTGTGGCCCAGGCTGGGGTGCAGTGGTGTGATCATGGCTCACCGCAGCCTTAACTTCCCAGGCTTAGGTGATCCTCCCACCCAAGCCTCCTGTGTAGCTGAGACTACAAGTGCACTTCGCCATGTCAAGCTAATTTTTTGTATTTTTTTGTAGAGACAGGGTTTTACCATGTTACCCAGGCTGGTCTTGAACTCTTGGGCTCAAGTGATCCTACCACCTCAGCCTCCCAAAGTGCTTGGATTACTGCGCTTTGCCCCCAGATGAGTTTTGACATTACAGTTTCTCCTGTGATATAAATGAGTTCTATGGTAGGATTCTTTTCACCATCAATCTTTGTGGGGACAAATGTGATTTATTCTCTTTGCGCTGAAGTTCTCACAGGGCCATTAGATGGGTGGGGGTTGGTTGAGGTTGGTTTTCCTTTTGCATTTTCACGTATTCTCTCTTGAGTTTACTTACTTGCATTACAATAAGAATTTGTAGAGGTACTAATTCTGAAAGAAAAGGAAATATCTTGTCAGCTAGTCATACACTGGTTTCAGGATTCTTTTTAAACAAAAGGTTTAAACAAAACAAAAGGTTATTCTTTTTAAACAGTCCATAACAGTTAGCTTACATGAATAAGCCAAGGAAATGCAGCTGACTCTCCAAACCTCTCCTTCCCTAATCTCTCCCATCCTGATAGCTGCTCCTTTGATTCCACCCTTTTTTTTATGCATATCTTAGCATGTGTCATCAAGGCCCTGTTAAAATGTCACTAGGGCTGGAATTTTTGAATTTATCTTTCTATAATAAGATATGATTAACATCTAGGTATTTAACTGCTTGGTGAGTCTTGTTTGGTTCTTCTGAATTCCTTTTTTTTCCTGAATGTTTTGTGCAGAAGAGAGACACAAAGATAATCAGTGGTTAATTTATCAAACGTTAAGACATCCTAACAACCCTGTGATATAACTTGCAATTCCAGGGCACTCTCAGCACTCATTTACTCAAGTCATCTTTGTAAACAATTGGCCTATATTGTCTTTAATCTTTACAACATTCCTGCAAGGTTGGTATTATTAAACATATTTTACAGATGAGAAGTTGTAGCAGAAGGTCTCAGTCAAAGTCACAGTCATATGCTACTTAGTGATAGAACCTGAATTTGACCTATGTCTGAACTGTTTTGAATAGTTGTTTAGTTTGTTAATGTTCCATTTCTTTTCCAAGCCTTTCAGCAGCTTGCTGCTTCCTGAAACAGTGTCTCCTAATTTACACTCCTTTGGCATTGACCCAGATCTCTTTCCTCTTGGTGCCTCCCACCAACTACTGTACACTTCCTCTTGCCATGTATGACCCTGACTGGCATACAGGTTCTTATGCCAGGTTCTTATGTCCCTGCTGTTTTCACTGTACAAGAATATCAGATATAAGATACTCTTGCTTTTCAAATTCTCACAAGGAGCTGGAATTGTCAAAATTCTTAGTTGTGTCTCAAACATTTGAAAACTGTAAGGTCTATCCACGTTTATATTCCTCCCCCTGACCCTTTTTAAAATCAAAGGATGGCTGGGCGCGGTGGCTCATGCCTGTAATCCCAGCACTTTGGGAGGCCAAGATGGGCGGATCACAAGGTCAGGAGATCGAGACCGTCCTGGCTAACCCGGTGAAACCCCGTCTCTACTAGAAATACAAAAAATTACCCGGGCCTAGGGGTGGTCGCCTGTAGTCCCAGCTACTCGGGAGGCTGAGGCAGGAGAATCGCTTAAACCCGGGAGGCGGAGCTTGCAGTGAGCCGAGATCACACCACTGCACTCCAGCCTGGGTGACAGAGCGAGACTCCATCTCAAAAAAAAAAAAAAAAAAAAATCAAAGAATATTTGCAGGAGTGGGTAATTATCCCCAATCTCATTATCTTATAAAATGACTCTTTTAAATTTTGCGTTTTACCTCCTTATCCTGGTTGACACAGGTTTACATATTGGCTAGCTCCTTGTCCAGCCCTTTCTGGTTTAGGCAGGGAGAGAGGTGATTCATGCTAGTCAGGGTCATACCCGGCAAGAGGAGGTGCATGGTAGTTGGTGGGAGGCACTGAAGGGATCTGGGTCAATGCCAAAGGAGTGTAAATTAAGAGACACTGTTTCAGGAGGCAGCAAGCTGCTGAAAGGCTTGGAAAAGAAATGGAACATTAACAAACTAAAAAACAGTTCAAAAGTTGAATCAAAATGAAAAATTCATTAGGAGAGGCAAGAGAATGAAACAAGATGGCCAAGAGCCAAAGGAAATAAACATAGGTTGAAGAGCAGTTCAGGAAGAACATCTTTGATTGTGATTATATTGTTCTTTATGCATATCTTAGCATGTATCATCAAGGCCCTGTTAAAATGTCACTAGGGCTGGAATTTTTGAATTTATCTTTCTATATAATAAGATATGATTAACATCTAGGTATTTAACTGCTTGGTGAGTCTTGTTTGGTTCTTCTGAATTTCTTTTTTTCCTGAATGTTTTGTGTAGAAGAGAGACAAACATAATCAGTGGTTAATTTATCAAACGTTAAGACATCCTAACAACTCTGTGCTATAACGTTATTGTTATTCCCATTGTACAGATGAGAAAATGGTGGCACAGAAATGTTAAGTACTTTTCCTATGGTTACAAAACAAATAAGTGGCTAGCAAGGATTTGAAATGATTACTATGCAATATGTTAAGAGATACAATGATACAGTATAAACGAATGAGGATCCAACGAATTCTGCTTGGATGAAGATCAGGGAGAGATGTACTAATGAAATTACACATTTCCTTTTGGGGTATCACACAATTTGGGTGCCCATATAAATGTTAATATTACCTTTGATTGTGCTCTCATGTAAATATTACTGGTGAAACTGCTCTCATTACCCAGATACTGAAAGTAATACATGAACAAGGATTTTTTCCTGATTTTTTTTTAACCAAATAATCCTAAATCTTGTTCCATTTGTTTGTTTTTTGAGACAGGGGTTCACTCTGTTGCTCAAGCTTTATCACAATTGAGCAGGGGCGTGATCATGGCTTACTGTAGCCTCAACCTCCCCAGGCTTAGGCGATTCTTCCCACTCAGCCTCCTGAGTAACTGGGACCACAGGCATGGGCTACCCATGTCTGGATGATTCTTGTACTTTTGATAGAGACAGGGTTTTGCTATGTTGGCCAGACTAGTCTCAACCTTTTAGGCTCAAGTGATCCTCCTGCCTTGGCTTCCCAAAGTATTGGAATTACAGGCTTGAGCCACCTCTCCTGGCTGACCCTAAGTCTTAAAGACATCCCCACTCCACAGGGCTGGGGTGCTCCATTCAAGTTCAGATTTGTTTCAGAAATTCTAAATATCAAGTACCATTTGTATAAACGAGTTTTAGTAAACAGATATGAAAGCAGTTAGTCAACCTCATTCAGTTATTTGTCCTTTTGTCATTCCACAAGATCCACTTTATGGAAGCCTTGTCAATATTTTAACTGAGTTTTTTTTGTAAGAACTAGTAGTGTGAATAACATATTAAGAGTCCAATAATTATATTTAGACTTCAGGGAGTTTGGATGGGAGAAGAGGGTATTTTCTGGACAAAATGTTTTCCTGTGAAGAGTTCTCCCTACACATATAATCCTAAGGATAAGAGTAAACTGGGCTAGAAAGATGAGTTAAATTTCCTTTTAAATGGCATGGTTCTTTAATAAAACTCCCCTAAGAAAAGTTCAACAGAACAAGGAAATAGGATTCATTTTCTTCCCAAAAGATTTATCAGCTAGTGGGAAAGGTCTAGTTTTTCCGAATTTTCCATTTTCTATGTTGTATGACCATAGGAATAAAAAGCGACAAAAATTTCTTATCCAAATGAAATTAGGGAAAAACCATGGTGAATTCCAGTCCTCAGGAAACACAGGGTTCTAGCTAATGGAGGGTTTATTGGAAAGTATTTTTATCATTCTGAATACTAATGACACCTTATAACAATACACTGCCTGTAGATATAAAAACTGAAGACATTGAAGGGATTAGTTATCAATACATCAGATCATTTCTGGACGGAATTTTATTAAAACAAAACAGAACAAAATATAAAGTTATTTTCCTTATTATTTATATTTTTCTAATTATGTAAGGGAGAAACCTTTCATCAATTGGGTATTTTTATTGTGTTTTTGTTTTTATAGCTTTATTTTAATGATATTATGATTTGAGTTGGTAAGGACATTCCACAGCAAGCTACTTTCATTTCTCTGAAACCCAGTTTCTCCTCAGAAAAATGGAGAAATTAGTCATCTCTACCTCATAGAAATGTTGTGAAGATCAAGCTAAGGCACATGAGGCACTTAGCAAGTGCTGGGAACATGGCAAAGGCTAAATGGATGTGAACTATTATACTATGATCCTTCTTGAAACAGGTTACGATGGCTGTTTTGAACTGCATGTTTGTGTCCTTCCCCTCACCCCAAATTCATATGTTGAAACTATAACTTCCAGTGGGATGGTGGAGCCTTTCGGAGGCAATTAGGTCATGAGGGTGGAGCCTTCATGATGGGATTAGTGCCCTTTTAAGAGGCAGGAGTGAGCTCACCTTCTTTCTTCTCCTCACCAAGTCAGGACACGGCAAGAAGATGGCCATCTGTGAACCAGAAGGAGAGCCCTCAGCAGAACCCAACCATGCTGGCACCCGGATCCTGGACTTCCCAGCCTCCAGACTGTGAGAAATAAGTCTCTGTTGTTTATGCCACCCCTGTCTATGGGATTGTGTTGTAGCAGCCCAAGCAGACTAAGATGATGGCACTTATGTCAAGTCTGTGTGCAGCATACCCATATTGACAATATGGTAAAAAATAAAATGTTATGGATTGTATTTTCCAAAGATGGCTGCAACAATATCTTGCAGTATCCCATGTGTGCTCTCCTTACAGGGTAATGTTGCCATGCCTCCCATCAAAGGGGACTCAAAGTCCACTCTCCTTGAAGATGGAGGGCCTCTGTGACTTCCTTGACCAAGAGAGTTGGTTGAAAGTGATGCTATGTGATTTATGAAGTCATAAAAATGCATGTTTCTATCATGTTTTCTTGGCACATTTGTTTTCAAAAAAGTCAGCTGCCATATGAACAGCCCATCTTCCCTGAGGTGCCATACTGTAAGGAAGCCCGAGCTAGCCCATGCAGAGAGACCACATGCAGAAACTCTGAAACCAAATGGACAGAGTGGGGGTGGTGGTACCTGGTTATCACCCAGGCGCCCAGTCCTCATTATAACAGCTCTAGCCATTGTTTGGCTACAACCGCAGGAGAGATCTCAAGCCAGAACCACCAAGCCCAGCACTTCCTGAATTCCTGACCCAGAGATTCCAGACTGTAAAAAAAACTTTAGCCTAATTATTTGTTTTGCAGTAATAGTCATGAAACATTCTGCTTTTATCACTTGAGCCTTCCTAATGACAGAAAGAGGTTCTCTGTGAAGTGTGAGATAACAGAGTAAATAACATGATACTGAGAAAATCTTGTTTGCTCACAGAAAATCACTGAAATGTGAAATATCTTTAGTTCTGGAAGGATTTAGTGTTCTCAAAAGAGCAGGCCTTCTGCAGAACACCCATTTCACCCACATATCAGTCTACTCATGTCTACTGTTCCTCAGCAAAGTTTTCTCCTCAGAAGGGGATGATTGTTTGTTATAGTTCTATTTTATAAAGAAGTTTGAAGCTTATGTGCTAATTATTACTGAACACTTTTAAATATTCAAAAATTAATAACGGTTACTCTAAATGAGAATTTAAAATGCAAGTTAGGCATGTTATCATGCTGCCCAACAACTCCCTCAGGTTTTCCACACATTATACCACTCCCATTAGATGTGGATGAGTGCCATTCATCTTCGTCCCCATAGCTTCACTCCCTGGTAGGGTATGGGAATGTTCAGAATTCTGCCACACGTATAAGCAACTATTAGCAAACAGATATAAAAGCACTTATTCAATCTCGTTCAGTCCTTTGTCCTTTTGTCATTCCACAAGATCCACTTTAAGGCAGCCTTGTCAATATTTCAGTGTAGGATGAGCCAATCATCTACTAGTATCAGGTAAACAGTCTTGTATAAAATGTAAGTGTGTGTATGTGTGTGCACTTAGGACAGAAGGGGATGGGGTGGGATGGGGAGACGCAGGCCTGATGAACAGAACTTCAGAGCCACAGCCGTGTCCTGTAAATGTTAGACTGTTGAGCCTGCCAGATTTTTACACCTCTTTTCTGCAAGGAAAAGAGTGTTTATACAGACTTTGTAGCCAATTATATTTATTAAATACTACTAATCACAGCAACGTAAGATTATTTCTAATGTCCCTAACGCTATTTTTAAACGTTTTGGTGAGGATTTAGACAGGGAAATTTGAAGCACTTGCTAAAAGCAGCTCTGAAATGTGTACTCCTGATTATGGTTTTCCAAACACTAAATGCGCCTGTGTGTGAATTACTGCTCAGAATATTACAAATATTAGCTAACTGCACCCAGGGTGGTGATTAAAGTTCACACACACACACACACACACACACACACACACACACACTCAACTCATTCTGCTTTGGTGAAATATTGCAAACTGTTTTTCTGACAATTTGACAGCATCACATGCACAAGATGAAATCAAATCTTTTCTTTGACCTTTAAGTAGCTACATAATCTGTCCCCATGCTATGCTTTCATCTCATGTACACTCTTCCCCTAACACACCTCACTCCAATCCTATGTATGTCTTTCTTATTTCTCCAACATGCTTGGACTCCATGTGCCACATCACCTGTGCTTCTGCGGTCCGTTCTGCCTGGAATATTCCCTCGGATGGTCACGTGACTGGTCCCTTCCCCTCACTCAAGTGTCTTCACAGACGCTGCTTCCTCAAGAAGGCTTTCCCCATTATCTTCGTACTTCTCAGTCTTTATTATTTTGTCTCGGTTTCTTCATAGAATGTATCCTTTCTTGGCATTTTGTAAGACAGTAATTAATTAATTAGTTAATTTTTTTGCCTGTCTCTACCACTAGGATGTGAGGCCTATGTCGGTAGAAAATTTTCTCCTTGGTTCACTGCTTTATCACTAGTGCCTGGAACATGACAGGTCCTTAAAAACTTTTTTAAATGGATGGATTGAATAGCATTCATCCAAACTCTATCTTTACTTATATTCTGTTGTGTTATAGCTTTCTTTTTAAAATTGTATATATTTTAAATGTACAGTATGGTGTTTTGATTTATGTATGTTGTAGCTTTCTTAATTCATTGGATTCTGATAGGTGACTTTTGAGTGATTCTTTGAAATGCAACCCAGAGTGCAGGGTCGGCTGGTTCATTCTGGGCAGTAACACAAAGGCTGGCTCTTGGTAGCTAGTGCTGAGACCAGGGCTGGTACCTATGGCATTTGTTTATCCATTTTGTTCATTTGTTTATAAAACAGAATTCTGAAACGTGATGTGTCAGGAACTGTGGTAGCTCAATAGCAAGGTGTAAGCATTCTCTGCCCTCATCAAGAATAAAGTCTATCAGGGAAGAAAGACAGTTAAACAAGCAATTAAAATCAATCATGGTAGTGCTATTGTGAGATAAATACAGGATGCTATGGAACAGGGATAGGAGGAAGAGGTGGCATCTGCCAGTTGATGGGAGCTGATTGTTAAATTTCCAGGAATTTTGCAAGCTCATTTTAAAAACAGACATTATTAAAGATTGTTATGTAAACTTATAATTAGATAAATTATATTAAAAATAAATTAGATAAATTAGACTAAAAAGCAAAGGTAATAAATGCCACATCATTTCCTGATAATCTTGCTCCTGAGGTTCTTTATGACTGTCGTACCTGTGTGGTGGAATTGTTCTCAATGCTGGCTAGTGCATGCATTTCCCTAACTCTTCATTCAATGACATCATGTTGGTAGCTCGAGATAAACCATGGTGTGAATATTTACACTGTGGAAATTGCTACAGATCAGGTTTTTTCCTTCCAAGAGCCAGTTATAGACATTTACCAGCATGCCATTGCTCTCAGAGCACACAGCACGACGCCTAACCTCACCTGGGGACATCAGACAAAGATCCTGAAAGGGGAAGCAGGAGTTAACCAGGTGAAAGCTGTATGGATGATAGAGAGTAGCCCCTTCAACATCAAGGCCAAACAGGTGAGCTAGCTCTCATCTGCATTCAGCACACCATCATTCTGCCTCTGTATGCCTTTTTTCTTCAGGTTACCCTTCCAAAAATACATACTCCATGTATATATATGGATGTATAATTTATTGATATGTATAGCTAACACTGTTAAGCTTCATTAAATTTCTTTTCTGTTCATTTAGGACAATATTTAATTAAAGCCATGATAGAAGTGCCCTAACAGGCCATATTTCACCTTGTTTACTCAGTTTAATTATTTTTAATTTTTTTCATTTAAAATAATCAAGGTTTTATTAATTATAAATTGGGAATATTGTGTTTATAACTTGTGAGATAAGAAGAAAAAGAATATATGTACCCAAATTTGACATTTATTTTTATCTTTTTTAAAATTTTAAAAGTTTTTATTATACTTTAAGTTACATGGATACATGTACAGAATGTGCAGGTTTTTTACCTATAAGAGTTGTGTATTTCAAAAACTGAAATCTCATAAAAAGTTAAATTTTTGTCTGACAAAAAAAATTCTTTTCTGTAAGAATGTTGAATATTGGCCCCCACTCTCTTCTGGCTTGTAGGGTTTCTGCAGAGAAATCTGCTGTTAGTCTGATGGGCTTCCCTTTGTGGGTAACCCGACCTTTCTCTCTGGTTGCCCTTAACATTTTTTCCTTCATTTCAGCCTTGGTGAATCTGATGATTTTGTGTCTTGGGGTTGCTCTTCTCGAGGAGTATCTTTGCAATGTTTTCAGTAATTCCTGAATTTGAATGTTGGCCTGCCTTGCTAGGTTGGGGAAGCTCTTCTGGATAATATCCTGAAGTGTGTTTTCCAACTTGGTTCCATTCTCCCCATGACTTTCAGGTACACCAATCAAACATAGGTTTGGTTTTTTCATATAGTCCCGTATTTCTTGGAGGTTTTGTTCATTCCTTGTCATTCTTTTTTCTCTAATCTTGTCTTCATGCTTTATTTCATTAAGTCGATATTCAATCTCTGATATCCTTTCTTCTGCTTGATTGATTTGGCTATTGATACTTGTGTATGCTTCATGACATTCTCGTGCTGTGTTTTTCAGCTCCATCAGGTCATTCATGTTCTTCTCTAAACTGGTTATTCTAGTTAGCAGTTCCTGTCACTTTTTAATCAAGGTTCTTAACTTCCTTGCATTGGGTTAGAACATTCTCCTTTAGTTCAGAGGAGTTTGTTATTACCCACCTTCTGTAGCCTACTTCTGTCAATTCATCAAACTCATCCTCTGCCCAGTTTTGTTCCCTTGCTGGTGAGGAGTTGTGATCCTTTGGAGAAGAAGAGGCATTCTGGTTTTTGGAATTTTCAGCCTTTTTGCACTGGTTTTTCCTCATCATCATGGATTTATCTACCTTTGGTTTTTGATGTTGGTGACCTTTGGATGGAGTTTTTGTGTGGGCATCCTTTTTGTTGATGTTGATGCTGTTGCTTTCTGTTTGTTGGTTTTCCTTCTAATAGTCAGGACCTTCTTCTGCAGGTCTGCTGGAGTTTGCTGGAGGTCCACTCTAGATCCTGTTTGCCAGGGTATCACCAGCAGAGGCTGCAGAACAGCAAAGATTGCTGCCTGTTCCTTCCTCTGGAATCTTCGTCCCAGAGGGGCACCTGCCAGATACCAGCTGGAGCTCTCCTGTATGAGATGTCTGTTGACCCCTGCTGGGAGGTGTCTCCTAGTCAGGAGGCATGGGGATCAGGGACCCAACTGAGGAGGTGGTCTGTCCCTTATCAGAGCTCGAGTGCTGTGCTGGGAGATATGCTGCTCTCTTCAGAGCCAGCAGGCAGGAACGTTTAAGTCTGCTGAAGCTGTGCCCACAGTCGCCCCTTCCCCCAGGTGCCTCAGTTTCTTTTATAGTAGTAGATTCAATAGCTTGTCTACTAATGCTTTTTATCATGCTGATTTTAGTTATATCTTTCTATCTGCATTCAGGGCCTATAAAGTCCTTCACATTTTGGCTGAAGGAAAGAAAGAAAACAGATATTGATTTACTGAATCCTGGGAGAAATGACCTCCTTTAGACGTATTTATGTGTAGCCCTAATGTTTTGCTATCCCAGAGGATAAGCCTGGACTATTGACTCATTGCAAAACCTGTAAATGTGTTAACAAACTCCTCTGTGAGATACCCAGATTGGACCTCTAGGTTTTCTGGAAAACACCACAGAGAACATTGTTTTCAGGTTTCTCTACCATTTTCTTTTACAGAAACCACCAGAGTATCATATTCTTAAGGGTGTCTTTTAAGATTTTTTTACCTTTTGAAAATCACAGATCTAGAAATGTAGTCAGCTTCTGCTGTCTGATGCATGAGCTCGTGTTGATGGCAAAACCTTCACCTATTATTTTGATGAGTGATGTATCCAGATCCTGTTACAACATTATGAGGCCACAAATGGAAAAGTAAAAACAAATGGGAGTACAGTATAGAAACAATGTTTCCAGAGGCATTTAAAAAGCATTTCCAGTCACTCTCTCTCTTTCTTTTTGTTTTTCTTTAAATCTTCTCCCAGAATGTACCGTATAATGACATTGATGCCTGGTCTTCATTTTGTTTTTTAATAGAGGACATGGCCCTTGTATAGTTTGTGGCCATGAGTTTAAAATTTTTGTATTTCCATGAGTATCTTGCAGGACAATTTAAAAAAATAGAGGGATGGGTGCAGTGGTTCATGCCTATAATCTCAGGACATTGGGAGGCAGAGGCAGGAGGATTGCTTGAGCCCAAGAGTTTGAGGCCAGCCTGGGCAACATAGTGAGACTCCACTCCTACAAAAAATGAAAAAGCCAGATATGGTGGTGCGTGCTTATAGTCCCAGCTACTCAGGAGGCTGAGTTGGGAAGATGACTTGAGCCTGGGAGGTCAAGGCTGCAGTGAACCATGATCATCGCACTCCAGCCTGGGCAACAGAGCAAGACCCTGCCTCAAAAAAAAAAAAATAGAAACCACTTTTTATAGAATTTCTTTTGGACAATTCTACACTTTAAAAATATGCTTGTGCTGTTTTCAGTGATCTGAAATAAGAATAATTCCCTAGGGATTTGTATCATTTTTAACTCCTAAGAAGAAAATGTGGACAGGCAGACTTCAAGTATAACATTCATATGGTTAATTAAGTTGCCATTTATTTTGCTAACCAGAGAGGAACCATTAATTTTGTCAAAAAGATGTAACACTTGAGTGTCTTTAAAAAATCCAGTAAAACATAGCTTCCCACTTCATACTGAAGAAAATTGTCCTGATAGTTTTTTCTCCATTATGCAACTGGGAAGAGCCAAACAGAGAATATTTTCCTTGTGCTGGGGCTGGAATAACGAAGAAAGCCACAGACCTTGGGTAAATTACTCTATTTCTCTAAGAGTGTTGAAAATCTGTTTTAAATTAAGAACTGATGGAGTGAGCAGCACTATTTTTATAGCAAGGGTGATTTTAAAAAATATTCCTTGTAAAAACATTACATGAAAAATTTTAGTTTTAGTTTTTGTTAAAATAAGATTTTATTGCCTTTCTACCAGAAGAATAGAAATAGGAAATTGCAAAAGGCAGCAATTTCTCCTTTCAGTACAGTCTCCCAAAAGTAATCCCTTTTAACAATATGTAATAAGTGATGTGTTGACATGACTGTTAAGACTATTATGAAAAAGCTAAAGAAAGCAGCATGAAAGCAAGATTGACAGACTCATGCAGGGAAACAAAGGCTAGTTCCTGGCTCACTCTCCAAAGGGCACTCCTGCATGATCCTCCACAGGTTTAAACTCATTTTGAGAGTATGGTCACCCTTCTGCTTTCTGGGTACTTTTATATCAAGGCTTCAAAATGCTTTATAAATATATGCACCAGAAAAAAAGTACTTTTAAGGGTCTTATTGGATAAAGTAATTTGCCTTAGCTGTGGGCTGTCTAGACAATGGGACATCCAAATGCAATGATTTTTTTGTGGACTCTGGAGATTGCACAAGAACCAGCCTCTGTTTTTGGTCCATCCTGCTCACCACTAAAATGTGAATTGTCCAAATTCTTTTGCGCTGGCAGCTCTGTGCTGAGCTCAGCCATCAGGACCTCCCCTGCATGAGGTGAGGGTGCTTAGTGATTTTTTTTTTTTTTTTTTTTTGAGACGGAGTTTCACTCTGTCGCCCAGGCTGGAGTGCAGTGGCGCGATCTCGGCTCACTGCAAGCTCCGCCCCCCGGGTTCGTGCCATTCTCCTGCCTCAGTAGCTGGGACCACAGGCCCCTGCTACCACGGCCGGCTAATTTTTTTTTTTTTTTTTTTTTTTGTAGTTTTAGTAGAGACGGGGTTTCACCGTGTTGGCCAGGATGGTCTCGATCTCCTGTTCTAGTGATCCGCCCGTCTCGGCCTCCCAAAGTGCTGGGATTACAGGCGTGAGCCACCGCGCCTGGCCGGTGCTTAGTGATTTTGTTTCACATCCACATTGCCACTCCACTCAGAAGTTTGGCAGTTTCCAGGGGTGTTTCCCTGGGCAGGACACAGAACTCTGCTTTTTATGGAAACTGCCACCTAAACATCCTTTTAAACTCAGGGAATCCGACTCCTTCCTGGAGCGAGACTAGATCTCCTTTTGACCTCAAAGCCTCAAATACCCCACCAATCACTAATAGGACACTATTTTATTCCCACTCTAACCCTGGAATCCACAAGTTATTAACACTTCTCTGAGCAAGAGTGCCCAGCATTCAGAAAAGATTAGCCAGGTGTTATTTTCATTTGAGCAAACAACCTTCTCATTCCTTGGCTAATGAGTCCATATAGCAGTGGGGAAAACTTTATTAATATATTATTTTGGGGGGACCATTTGTCAATGACTGTAGATTACCATAGATATAAGTTGGTAATGCCACTTGCAGTTGATGTGGTATCTTCACTGAAACAGCAAAATAAAACATAGCCCTTGGCTCGTATGTAGTTACTGATCTAGCAAATGCTTTTTGACATCTCTATCAGCTAAGTGAATAAGAAGCAGTTTGTATTCAAGTTGCAGGGATAGCAGGATACTTTACTGATTTCCCTAAGGGCTATCTACATCAACTCACCTGTTTCTCTTATAATGTGGTTTGGAGGGAACAAAACTTTATGCTAGTCCATTACTTTTATGAAATTTTGCTACTTGGACTGTATGAGCAGGAACTATCAAGAACCTATATGCCTTAAGTAAGACACATGAATGCTAGAGGGTGCCAATTCAGTTGCAAGGACCTGTCACATAGGCAAGGTTATTAGGTATCCAGTCATCTTGTTTGGGTACTTTGGGGTATCCCTACTAAAGTGAGATATAAGTTTCTGCATCTTGCCTGGTCCACTGCAAGGAAGGAGGCACAGCGTTTTGTAAGCGTCTTTGGATCTGGGAGGCTTCATATACCACACATGGAGACGCCGCCCCTGATATTTGCTGGAAAATCCATTAGGCTGCCAGTTTTGAGTAGGGTCACACCAAGAAAAGCAACAAAAGGCTCTTCAGCAAGTCTAGGCTGCTTCACTCTTCTAACCTGTTAGACTCAAGGCACTACACTTTAGTTTCAGACAAAGATGTTATAGAGAGTTTCTGGCAGGCTCGCAGAGCAAGACTCTCAGGTGTTTGGAATAAGACTTGGCCTCTTCTGACAACTATACTTGACCTGAAAAACAACTTTTAGTTTGTTGCTGGGTGAGTCAAAGACTGAAAACCTGACTTTTGAAAATAAGAAAATATGCATCATAAATTTAGACATGCACATATCATTCCAGTGTAAAACGAAAGTGTTATGTATGAGACAGGGCCAAGAAGGGTCAGGAAGCACAAATAAACTGCATGAGTGAGTGGTTCAGACTTCCACAGTAGCTGCTCTTACTATTCTCCTGCTTTTCCCTTGGATAATAGCTCCAATTCGTTGAGGGAATTCTCTATGACCAGCTGAAGGAGAAGAAAGAATGGGCCTGGCTTATGGATGGATGGCATGTGGACCTCTAACAGAAATGGATAGACACTGCATTACGGCCCCGCATAGGTGGTACTGAAAGATAGTAAGGAAAGAAAATGTTCTCAGGAGGCAGAATTTTGGGCAGTCTTTTGGGTGTCTATTTAATGTGAAAGGGGAGATAGCTCAAAGGGTGAATTTATACAAACTGACTGGCCAGTGGTTAAGGAATTGGAAAGAACAAAATAAGAAGAGTGGTGACAAGGTCTGAGGAGATGTCTGTGATGGGCCTCTCAGCATGGGCACAGAGTGGGAAGATATTTGTGTCCCATGTAAATGCCCATTAGAGGGCATCCAAGTGGTGAATGAGTGCTTTGAATAATTAAATGGATAAGATGATCTCTCTTAGCGATGTCAGTCTGCCTATTTCCCTAGCCATTTATATGATTGGTCAATGGAGGTATATAAAGTGAACATGGTGTCAGGAATGGAGGCTATGCATGGTCTCACCAGTATGGGCTCAGTCTCACCATAACTGATTTGTCTATGCCATCATTGAGTATTCAATCTGCCTATAGCAATATGAACCTGAAATATGACACCATTCGTGATATTCAGGTAAGTCTCCTGTGGAATGGCGTATGTAGACTCATTTATGGCACCATATGGAGACAAATCTTGTGAGGACAGGGTGTTACTTATATGATGCAGTATATTCCTTAAACAAGTGGCTAATATAAGTTCCTAAGTGTGTGAAACCATATGTCCAAGATTCAAGGGCTGGAGATGAGAATGGACTTTATTATACCAAATATTTGTTTTGGGGAATGTTTTCCTCACATCCTTGCAATCTTGGATTCTGTGGGTTTATAGTACCAGAAGGAGAAATGAATCCATAAGGAAATACAATAATAGTTCCATTGAATTAGAACCTGAGATTGCCCATTGGCCATTTTAGGCAGATGAAGCAAAGACAGAGAAGAGCTTATTGCATGTACTGGCTGGGTAATTGATTGATCCTGATTACCAAGGAGAAACAAATATGCAGTGGGGATGAGGAGGATTATTTATGGAACCCCAGTGGGATTTGTGGCTACTTAGGACTTTATCACCCCGTGGCCCTTGGCAATAGAAAATTGTGGCAGTGTAGTAAAGATAGGACCACCAAAGGGCTCAGCTCCTATAGGACTAAAGTTTGACTCAGGCAATCAGGTTAAAAACCCATTCAACTAAGATACTTTAATAGAATAAGGAAACAAGAAATGGACGTTGGAAGAAAGATGTTGTGGTTAACAACTTAGACATACTGACCAGTTACAGAAGCAGAGATTTTAACAGCTATGTCCTCTAATCATTTTTTCTTGTCCCCATGTTTCCTCCCACTCCTTTTATGAAGAGCACTGCTGATGGCTAACATTTTTAGGTTGCAAGTGATCTGGCCTTGGAGATACGGTAACTGGTTGGGAACACAAAGTTGTCACCCAAGCAAAGGATGACAGTGGATGTCAAGAAGCAAGACTATGCTGGATCCTTTCTGCCGTTCTACCAGATCCATCCTCCACCCTCATCTATCATTGTCTGTGTGGATCTTGATCAATGGACTTTGCCTCTGGCTCCTGATTGGGTTTGCACAATGGGAAGCAGAAGAAAGTGAAGTTGTGGCTCCTTCTTTTCATAGAGCTGCAGGTTGGACATGCCCGTTTCCTCAAGTCTACAGCCCTTTTCAGCTGGAATTTGCCAGCTAACAACTTCCTCCAGGTTTAGATAGCCACTAAATTATCTTGCCCCTTCAGGGTTAAGGGGTAATGGGTTCCCCTCTATTAGTAGCCAGTGGGTAATGAACTATCTCTGGTTTGTTCCTTAAAACATGCCCATAATAGTCTCTTTAAATAATTCTCCTCAAATTACCTGGCCTGAGTAGGTCCCACTGGAACTCTGATTCATGCACACACTTAGTTCGTTCTTTGCAACCACTCAGTGGCATAGATGGGTACGTGATGTCACTTTCTTGCTTAAAATGTTTTAGTGCCTTGTCATTGTAATTGAAATAAAACCCAAAGAGTATGGTTTGCAAGGCCATACTTGACCTGGTGTCTGCCTCCCTCTCCAGGCCAATCTCTCCCCACCCTCCTTCACCCCTGTTGCAAGTCGCGTTAAGATCCCCTGTGGCTCTTTCTCTTGAGGTGCTCATCCCCGAGATCTGCCTACCTGTACTTCAAATTTCAATTGAAATATCACTTCCTCAGAGTCTTTCCCTAGCTATTCAGTCAAAAGCAGTCATCTAAACACTGTGACATTATCCTATATTAACTCTTCTCACAGGACTTAATAACAAGCAATTACTGATATTTTCTCGTCCATTTTTATACCTTTAATCATCTATCAATCACGTCTGTCTGCCTGCCTGCCTGCCTTCCTTCCTTCCTTCCTTCCTTCCTTCCTTCCTTCCTTCCTTTCTCTCTCCTTCCTTCCTTCCTTCCTTCCTTCCTTCCTTCCTTCCTTCCTTCCTTCCTTCCTTCCTTCCTTCCTTCCTTCTCTCTCTTCTCTCTTTCTCTTGCTTTCTTGCATTCTTTCTGGCTTTCTTGTTTTCTTTCTTGTTTTCCTGCTTTTTTTTCCACAGGGTCTCATTCTGTTGCCCAGGCTGGAGTCTGGAGTGCAGTAGTGTGATCATGGCTCACTGCAGCCTTGACCTCCCTGGGGTCAGGTGATGCTCCTGCCTCAGCCTCCCAGGTAGCATGGTGTGCACCACCATGCCCAGCTAATTTGTGTGTGTGTGTGTGTGTGTGTGTGTGTGTGTGTGTGTGTGTGTGTGTTTTAGAGCCTGGGTTTTGCGGTGTTGTCCAGGCTGGTCTTAAACTCCTGGGCTAAGGTGAGTCTCCCACCTCGGCTTCTCAAAATGCTAAGATTACTGGCATGAGCCACTGCACCTGGCCCCACTATTGCTTTAGAAGAAAAATTTCCTGAGGACTAGCTTTTAATATGTGTTGATATTAAATTAAAAAGCAGAGATTAGCTCCATCCTATAGATAAGGTAACAGGAGTTCAGAGGTTACAGTTATTAGTGTGAGAATCAGCGCCTATGACTTCTGATATCCATACACCAGGGTCTATTCCTCGTCTGATTTCCCAAGCCTAAAAATGTTGTGGGAAAGACATGTAATCAATCTAAGTATCTATCAATGAATGAATGGTTAAAGAAAATGTGTTATATATACACAATGAAATAATCAGCCATAGAAAGGAAAAATGCCATTTGCAACCGTCACGGATGAACCTAAAGGATATTATGTTAAATGAAATCAGCCAGGCACAGAAAAACAAATATCTCATGATCTCACTGATATGTGGAATCTAGAGAAGTTGATCTCGTGGAAGCAGAGAGCAGTGGTAACAGTGGTTACCTGTGGGATGGTTGGTCGGGAGGAGAGATGGGGAGAAGTTGGTCAAAGGATACATAATTATAGTTAAATAGGAAGAATACATTTTAAGAGAACTATTTTATGGCAAGGTGACTGTAGTTAATGATGGTATAATGTATTCTTGGAAAATGTAAAGACAGTGGACGTTATGTGCTCTTAACACAAAAATGATAACGGTGTTAGGCAATGCGTCTTGTTAATTAGCTAGATTTAGCCTTTCCACAATGCATATGTACTTCAAACCATCATGTTGTACATGATAAAAACATGCAATGTACTCTGTCAATTTTAAAACATAAATTTAAAAGGTGCAGGAGAAAAATAAAATTAAAATGCTATGGGAGATGAGCTATGGGAGGTAGTGAGCAAATCTTAACTTATGTGAGACAAAACTGCTGGAAAAATAATGGGGAGCCTTCTATCTCCTTAGCCATGCTAGAATTAGAAATGAATTGTTCTCCAATACTAAATTACCATTTCCCAAAAGGGAACACAAAGCTGTTGAACAGTTCAGTAAGATGTTAAGAAGACATTCCATGATTTAGCAGCCAAAATAACTTTGTTAAATATTTGGTTAATGTCTCTTTACTGTAGGAATTCCTAGAGCCTTTAATATGTTTCTTGTGAAGGAAGGCAGATGTACTATGCAAAGCTACCCCAATTGATTAGAATAGAAAATACTTTATGAGAATCCTATTAATATCTCATAGAACATGCATTTCCTGGACCAAAGTTGAGTGAACACAGAATTAAATCTTTAGTGATAGACATCACATTGGCAGAACAGTCTCATTATAAAGATAAATTTAATAATGAATTATATGTAGAGAAGGAAGAGGGAGTTTATATTGGTGTCTTCTGAGTTTATATTATGTTTATATTGGTGTCTTCTGAATTTTGTTCTTTTGTGTCATTTATTCAGTTTCGTGTGAAAGTCTTTTTCTTTCTTTTTTTTATTATACTTTAAGTTCTGGCGTACATGCGCAGAACGTACAGGTTTGTTACATAGATATACACGTGCCATGGTGGTTTGCTGCACCCATCAGCCTGTCATCTACATTAGGTATTTCCCCTAATGCTCTCTCTCCCTTAGCCCCCCAACCCCAACAGGCCCCATATGTGGTATTCCCCATCAGCCTGTCATCTACATTAGGTATTTCCCCTAATGCTATCTCTCCCTTAGCCCCCCAACCCCAACAGGCCCCGTATGTGATATTCCCCTCCCTGTGTCCATGTGTTTTCATTGTTCAACTCCCATTTAGGAGTGAGGACATGAGGTGTTTGGTTTTCTGTTCTAGTGTTAGTTTGCTGAGAATGAGGTTTCCAGCTTCATCCATGTCCCTGAAAGGACATGAACTCATTCTTTTCTATGGGTGCATAGTATTCCATGATGTATAAGTGCCACATTTTCTTTATCCAGTCTGTTATTGATGAACATTTGGGTTGGTTCCAAGTCTTTGCTATTGTGAACAGTGCTGCAGTAAACATATATGTGCATGTATCTTTATAGTAGAATGATTTAAAATCCTTTGGGTATATATGCCATAATGGTATTGCTGGGTCAAATGGTATTTCTAGTTCTAGAACCTTGAGGAATCGCCACACTGGCTTCCACAATGGTTGAATTAATTTACACTCCCAACAGTGTAAAACGTTCTTATTTCTCCACATCCTCTCCAGCATCTGTTATTTCCCAACTTTTTAGTGATCATCATTCTAACTGCCATGAGTCTTTTTCTTTTTTCCAAGTATGTGTCTGCCAAGTTTTTATTTCCTTCATCAAACCATGTATTATTTCTGACTATTCTGGTAGAAGTGTTGAAACATTTTTAAACCTATTGCAAATGCCTTCTGTCCAGATCCAGATAATTTCTACAGGAGTCTGATCGATATCTCATTACTGCCAGGGCAGCCTGCACTGCTGTAGTTTGTAGTCTATTTGCTTATTGTAGGAATTATATCATTAAGAAGACTTAAGGTGTAAAACATTGAGTGACAAAGATGTTTCAATGAGGAAAAAAGGGACTTCAACTAGAATGTAAAGAGCACAAGAATAAAGTCAAGGAAGGAAGAAAGGAGAGAGGGAGGAAGGAAAGGAGGGAGGGAGGAAGGGAGGGAAGGACAAGGACAAAGCCTAAACTTGCTAAAATGCTGGGATAATTGGCACAGAGAGGTCCTATTGCTAGAGAAAGCAAGTTAGATGGTCACCCTATTTATGCCATTTTTAGCTATTCTGCTCATTGGTATGTACTTAATAGAAATATGTGCACATGTGAAATGAGAAATATACAAGAATGTTTAAAGCAGCATTATTTATAATAGACCTAGAGTGGAAATAACTAAAATAGGCATCAACAGTAGAATGGAATACCATGCAGCAATGGAAAAGAATAAACTACAGCTATATGCTACAACATGAACATATCTGAAAGCATAATATTAATTTCCTTTAATATAAATGTCAAGAACAGGCAAAATTAAATTATAATGTTAGATGTAATAATCACCTTTGAGGATGGTGTAAGCAATTGATTAAGATAGTTTCAAGGGACTTCTGTGGTGCTGGCAATATTTTATTTCTTTTTTTTAATGTGGTAAAAAACATAAAATTTACCATCTCAACCATTTTTAAGTGTACAGTATAGTAATGCTAACTATAGCTCATTGTTTTGGCAGATTTTTTGAACTTTTCATCTTGCAAAACTGACTCTATACCCACTGGTCAAGTGATCTTCAACAAGGGCACTAAAACTATAAAATGGGGAAATAATATTTTCTTCAACAAATGGTATTGAGAAAACGGAATATCCATATACAAAAGAATAAAGTTGGACTCTTACCTTATACCATATTTTAAAATGAACTCAAAATGGGATTAAAGATCTGAAACTTTAAAACTCCTAAACTAGTAGGGAAGAATCTTTACAAAGCTGAATTTGGCAATGATTTATTGCCTGTGACACCAAAAGCACAGGCAATGAAAGCAAAAATAGACAAATGGAACTACATCAAACTAAAAAGCTTCTGCACAGCAAAGAAAACAATCAACAGAGTGAAAAGGCAAAAATGGGAGAAAACATTTGCAAATCATATATCTGGGAAGGAGTCAATATCAAGAATATATAAAAAACACCTGTAACTTAACAACAACAACAACAAAAATAACCCAATTTAAAAAATTGGCAAAGGACTTAAATATATATTTCTCCATAGAAGATATACAAATGCCCAATAAGCATATGAAAAGGTGTTCAACGTCACTAATTATTTAGAAAACTCATGTCAAAGCCACAGTGAGATATCACTTTATACCTATTAGCATGGCTGCCATTTAAAAAAAAAACCAAAAAACAGAAAATAACAAGTGCTGGCAAAAATGTGGAGAAATTGGAACCCCTGTGCACTGTTAGTGGTGATGTAAAATTGTTCAATCCCCATGAAAATTTGTCTCAGGACTCTATTCTGGTCCACTGGTCTGTATGTCTGTCTTTACATCAATACCATACTGTTTGGATTGTAGTAGCTTTGTAATATGTTTTGTAATCAGGAAGTGTGAGGCCTCTGGTTTTCTCATTTCTCTTAGGATTGTTTTGACTATATGGCTTCTTTTGAGATTTCATATGAATTTGAGGATTTTTTATTTTTAAAAAATTCCATTGAAATTTCATAGGG